TCACAGAAGAGGAACCCCAGGGGTCCAATGTGCATATGAAGACATGCTTATAATCACTAGTAGGGAGAGAAATGCAACTTAAAACAAACATCAGTGAACCATCCCTTTACACCCATTCAGTTGACAAAAATGAGAGAGGAAAAGTCAAGTGCTGGCAAGGATGTGGGGGAAATGGGAAACTTATATGCACACTGATGGGAGCATAAATTGGAATAGCCATTCCGCAAGGTATTTCGTGGAATTAAAAGTGCGTTTATACCACGATTCCTGCAGTCCTACTTCTGGGTATACATACCAGAGAAATTCTCTCACTGGTCCACTCTGGGACACTATGGAGATGTTCATGGCAGTGCTGTTTGGGTAGCAGGAACTAGAGGCGACCTAGGTGCCCGCTGATAGTATAATGTGGTGCTTGTGCCTGAAGGGCTACGGTCCAGCATTTAGGGACAGCAATTATGGCGCAGCCACTATGGAAAAGAGCATGGAGGGTCCTCAAAAAATTAGAACTAGAACTACCATATGATCCAGCAATCCCACTTTTGGGTATATAACCAAGGGAAGTGAAATCAGTATCTTGAAGAGATACCTGCACCCTCATGTTCATTGCAACATTATTTATAATAGCCAAGATACGGAAACAATCCAAGTGTCTGTTGATGGATGAATGGATGAAGAAAATTTTATATATATATATATATATATATATATACACACACACACACACACACACAATGGAATATTATTTAGCCCTAAAAGAAGGAAATCCTAATCCTGCCATTTGTGACAACATGGATGAACCATGAGGACATTGTTTATGCTAAGTGAAATAAGCCAGTCCCAGAAAGACAAAACCTGTATGATCTCACTTATATGTGGAATCTAAAAAAGTCAAACCCATAGAACCAGAGAGTAGAATAGTGGTTGCCAGGGGCTGGGAGTGGAGGTGGCAGAAATGCTGAGATGTTGGTCAAGGGATACAAAGTTTCAGTCATAAGATGAATAAGTTCTGGGGATCTAATGCACAGCGTGGTGACTATAGTTAGCAATAACATATTGTATACTTGAAATTTGCGAAGAAAGTAAATCTTAATTGTTCTTACACCAAAACATTGGTAACCATGTGAGGTAATGGATATGTTAATTTACTTGATCATGGGAACCATTTTACAATGTATATGATTAAATCACCATGTTGTATACCTTAAAAAAATCACATTGTACAATCTAAAAACATACAATTTTTATTTGTCAATCGTACTTCAACAAAGCTGGGAAAAAAAAGTTTAAAGCATATTGCACAGAAAAAAACCCCAGTGACTACATGTCCATACAATAATAAGAGACACCTAAAATCAGCATTGAATGAAAAAACTAAAAAATAGAATACTGCCTAGAACTCAAGAACACTGATAAAAATCAATAGCCTAGGGCTTCCCTGGTGGCGCAGTGGTTGAGAGTCCGCCTGCCGATGCAGGGGACACGGGTTCATGCCCCGATCTGGGAAGATCCCACATGCCATGGAGCGACTGGGCCCGTGAGCCGTGGCCCCGGAGCCTGTGCTCCGCAACGGGAGAGGCCACAACAGTGAGAGGCCCACGTACCGCAAAAAAAAAAAAAAAAAATCAATAGCCTACACACACAGTAGCACTACGTACATTTCAAGGATCCACACATTTTCAAGGACACGTCTACCCCATTCAAGCGGTTGCTTTAAGGAAGGGAGGAGACTAGGACGTGAGCAGGGTGAAAGGGGGCATCACTGAGAGGACCTTGAATAGACCGAAGCTGAGAACTGTGAGTGAGAGAAGCTCACACCTTATCTTTGGTACAGAAGGAAAAACGTTCATGCACATCTCAACCTCCACTCTGCTGGGATTCTTAATGGGGAGAGATGAGAAATAGGACCCAGAAAAGGAGGTGAATCATCGCCTGGACTACTTCTGGAGGTCGATCCAGAGCGAGAAATAAGAATAAAATGATTAGGAAGGAGAAGGTCAATTTAAAAACATTGCAGACATTATGTAGCTCCCATTTTGATGCAATAGGGACTACACAGCATCACCTGAGAAAGACTTTTCTCAGAGAACCTTGAACTTGAATCTAATTAAGCTTCTAGTGCTAACTACTAGTTTACAGGAAATTTAGTGGGGAGGGGAGCACGCACACAGGTGTGCATTCTGTCAAATCCAAAAGGGGGAAGATTTTACAGAGCCAATTTCCAGTTTCTTCAACAAATAAATGACAAGGGGAAAAAAGAGGGAGGGGGGATTGTTATAGATTAAAAGAGCCTTAAGAGGCATATCCTGTATGTGCAACATGGGGACATTGGCTCCTGATTTGAACAGACCAATTGTAAAAAGACATTATGTGAATATCAGGTAATTCTGAATACTACCTGGATAAGGCATTATTGTCAATTATTTTTGGTATATAGTATGTATTATGGTTAAGTTAAAAACAGAAGATTCTGTATTTTAGAGATGCATGCTGAAATATTTACAGGTGAAATTACATGTCTGGGATGTACTCTGAAATAATTCAGCAGGGTCAGGGGGACAGGTTGGGATGGGTGTAGAAGAAACAAAACCGGTCATATGTTGATAATTGTTGAAGCGAGTGATGGTACATGGGTGTTCATCATACTATTCTCTCAGCTTTTGTACATATTTTATTCACCTCAGCTGAATTAGAAAATGCAGGTCTGCAGATATGATTTAATGAAAATATGGGCCATAATAGATTTTTTACAAGTGCAATATGGGGGAAAAGATATTTTGCTTCTCCAGAAAAGATGGGCAGATTTGACTTCACTAAAATTAGAAACAAGCAATAGACTTGGATGAAATATTTGCAACATTTATAACAAGCAATTAATATCCAGAGTATAAAGAACTCCTACAATAACAAGAAAAAGAAGCAACCCAACAGAGAAGCAGGATATTGTAGTAAACATTTGTCATCTGTTTTAGGGACTCCCCCATTATGTGCATACTTGAGGCCATAAGTAGCCCAAGGGGGACCATATTCTCCCTCTCGCCTCCCTGGTGTACCTGGGGTGGGCTTGTACTTTAGACTTTGCCCACTGGACCCTCTCTCCCAGGATGTTTTTTTTGTTTTAAATTTAATTAATTAATTTATTTGGTTGCGCCGGCTCTTAGTTGCATCACGTGGGCTCCTTAGTTGTGGCTCGTGAGCTCCTTAGTTGTGGCATATGAAGTCTCAGTTGCGGCATGCATGTGGGATCTAGTTCCCTGACCAGGGATCGAACCCAGGCCCCCTGCACTGGGAGCACGACGTCTTAACCACTGTGCCACCAGGGAAGTCCCGCAGAATGTTGAGTCTGGAATGTATGATGCAAATTTGTGGGGATAGTCGGAAGTGGGAGTTCATGCTTAAGGTCTTTAGGAAATTAAGTAAAGGAATCCAGGCTGCAAAATAATATATACAATATAATCCCATCTATGTAGTATCCTCCCCAATAAAAAGCCCTGCCATTGCTCTATATTTCCTTAAATTACTCCAGTGATTGTCGCTTTTCTCCTGTATTTTCATCCTCTCTCCCTCCATGGATTCTCTCCATGTTCAAAGACTTTCTCATCAAAAATTCCCCACCTGACCTGGTCCCTCTCCAGCCACTGTCTTACCTTCCTCTTTATTGCCTCAAGCTAACCTTGCTTTGGGGAATAAAGAGAGGGGCTGTGGCCTGGATTTGGGGGAGGCAGACCAGGGAGGGTTCCAGGGTTGTGGAGTTACAGGCTTGTCAGATGTATTAAAGAGACTGGTAAGGCACCAAAGGCTAGAAAACTCAGGAATATTTGGCTTACAGATTGACGTGTGTGTTTGTGTGTGTGTATCTGTGTGTAGGTATTTATGTTTGTGTCTGTGTGTCTCTCTGTGTGTATGTATGTTTGCGTATATGTTTATGTATGTGTCTGTGTGCATGTGTATGTATGTTTGTGTGTATATGTGTGTCTCTGCATGTATGTATGTGTGCATGTCTGTTTATGTTTGTCTGTGTGTGTGTGTGTGTGTGTGTGCGCACATGTGCATGCTGGGAAGGAGAGTCAGAGGAGAGGAAACCATGTCCAAGTTAGCCTTTCCTGTCCCTCGTTGTGTCCTCTGAGAGGACTATCCCTCGGGATCACTCTCACCTGAAGAGACACAGGGCAGCCTACTCCCAGCTCTGTTCAATGCTGCCTGAAGGTGCTGTGATGTTTCTTGGCAGCAGGGAAACCAACCAGCTCGAGTGATTCTCCTATAAAACTCCATTGTCTCACATGAGTTAGAATCCCCCAGGAGGCCTGTCTTGGTTTGAGTCTCTTCCAGAAGGGTCTCTCCCTGAGAGAAAGGCTTGAGGGAGGGAGTTTTCTTGGGAACTGGTTCTAGAAAGAAGGAGGGAAGACAGGGGGAGTGGGGCAGGAACCAGAGACCAGTAGGGATGCATCACCGGGGTTGTTGCATGCTTCAGGAGCTTTGGGCTATGGGGCTCCCCAGCATCTCCTGAGCTACCAACCTAAAGGAGGGGTGGCTGGAGCATTTCCCCACAGCTCCTGTTCCCTGTGGGTTCACTCCTCGGCAGGTCTGGGCTGTACTTGGCTGACCAGGCAGCACCTGGAGGTGGGATGCTGTCAGCAGGAGGACCTGCCCGAGCTCACGTGGCACTACCCCCTCTGCTGTGGCTGAAATAGGAAGCAGTCAAGGGGATGTGATGTAGGGCAACAGAGGTGTCTACCGCAGCCCCTATCCCCAGACTGCAGAAAGAAACAAGAGGATGCTCAATAGCAACCAATACATAAGACCCCTGAGAATGAACTTAGGAAATGTGTAAGATGTGTACGAAAACAGCTGTAAAACTCTAATGGAGGTCATAGAAATACTTGAGTGCAGCCAGCTTATCCTTGGCTAGGGAGTCTCAATAGGGCAATGGTTTTAATTTCCCCTAGATTAATGTATAAAGGCAAGGTTATTCAAATCAAAATTCCTATGCATTTTTTTTTTAGGAATTTGACAACATGAATAAATGTGTGAGAATAACCTGCAGGAGAAAACCCAACAATCAGGGAACTTGTCCTATCAGATATTAAAATAGAAGGTAAGTAATTAAACCACACTTGGCACTGGCATGGGGATGGACAGATGAATCAGTGACATGGAATAGACTCCAGAAACGGATCCGGGGACTTAGTAGGGGCTGTTTTGTTTGTAAGTGACAGAAATCCAGTGGGAACCAGCGTAAGCAAAGAAGGAGTTTATCAGAAGGATTGTGGGGTGTCTCATGGGATCTCGGGGCAGGGGTGCAGCTGGGGCTCATGGTTCAAAAGGGGGACTGGAGCTCTATAGAGGACCCAGGAAGTTCTTTCTGTGTATCAGCTGTGCTTTTTTCAGAGCATCTTCCTCATTCTTCTCTCTTATTGCAGGATGGCTTCTCTGCTCTTCAGTTCACATGCTTACAGTACTCCTGGGTTTTATAGCCTACATATTCTCTCTCTCCCTCTCTCCCCCCGCCACCCCATCTCTTTCTCCCCAAACTCCCAGGGAAGACACTGATTGGCTCTCTTTGGGTCAGCTAACTCTGTGCCAATAAACTGGAGCCAAGGGTAGGGTCATGTCATGGCATCTGCTGTAGTGACCACATGGAAAGGAGGGGGAGGGTTTACAGAAATGTGGTGATTGGGGGATGGAGGCAGGGATGTGCAAGCCAAACAATAGATATCTATTATATCCAAGTGCATATAGGAATTTAGTAGATAGCTGTGATGTGATAAGAAATATATATTTGGTATCTGTCCCCAGTTCCTGACACACAGCTCCTAAATCCCTTGGAATTTCCTTGGTGATAAGAGCATCTTTTGTTCTAATGAGGCTCCTCTTGGTGGAGTCCTTCCTGGATGGCTTCAGGATGGGGGCTGGTCACCAGAAAGACCAAGCCATGATGAAAAACTTGGAACTTTCAGTCCCACCCTCCATCCTCCATGGAGAGGAGAGAGGCTGGAGACTGAGTTGATAACTGATCAATAATAATTGATCATGCCTATGTGGTGAAGCCTTCATAAACCCCCTAAACTTCAGGGTTTGGAGAGCTTGTAGGTTGGGAAACACATTCAAGTATCAGGAGAGTGGGGCCCTCTCAACTCCACAGGGACAGAAGCTCTTGCGCTCAGGACCCTCTGGACTTTGCCTTATGAAACCCTTCATCTGTCTGCTCATCTATATCCTTTATCGTATCCTGTATCATAAATCAGCAAATGTGTTTCCCCGAGTTTTGTGAGCCCTCATAGCAGACTGTTGCACCTCATGAGGGCTGGTTTACAGCTGGTTGGTCAGAAGAACAGATGACAATCAGGACTTGTGATGGTATCTGAAGTGGGGACAGTCTTGTAGGACCGAGTGCTTAACCTGTGGGTCTGTGCTAACTCCAGGTAGCTGGTGTCATAATTGAATTGTAGGACACCCTGCTGGCATATGCAGAGTTTGAGAATTGACTGGTGTGTGAAAATCCCCCACATTTGGTGTCAGAATTGTTGTGAATAGAGGAAACCAGAGTTTTCCTTTAATAATTAAGGAGACATTTCAAGTCGGAAATGAAAAGATGCAAATTCTGGTGGGACACTTATCCAATTCATTGACCTCATCACTTAAAAAATATTGGGTGATGGGATAATTCATTTCTTATGTGCCATCTTTCTCAATTCTGAATGCCTGGAATGCTACTTCTCAAAAATGCCAGTTCAAATATTACATTTTATGCTGACGGACCAGGAATAGTAAAATTGGTACGGAAAAGTTATGGTTACCCCATAGTTTTAATAAGAGATGAAGAAAACTTCAAATTTCAAAGCTTAAAACCCTTTCTATGAAATAAAACTCCAAGAACTTCTTCCCCCCTGAAGTCACATGTTTTGCCAAAAATAAACTCTTTTGAAATAGCCATGGAATGCATTCCACCTGTATGGTGGAAAACTTCCTGTGGATAATATCTTTTTATTTATTTATTTATGGCTGTGTTGGGTCTTCGTTGCTGCGTGCAGTCTTTCTCTAGTTGCAGTGAGCAGGAGATACTCGTCGTTGTGGCGCGCGGGCTTCTCATTGCGGTGGCTTCTTTTGTTGAGGAGCACGGGCTCTAGGCACGCGGGCTTCAGTAGTTGTGGCACGCAGGCTCAGTAGCTGTGGCGCACGGGCTTAGTTGCTCCGTGGCAAGTGAGATCTTCCCGGACCAGGGCTCGAACCCGTGTCCCCTGCATTGGCAGGCGGATTCTTAACCACTGTGCCACCAGGGAAGTCCTCCCATGGATAATGTCTTAATGCCCCTAAATGATTCACCGTCTGGAAATCAACTGATTTCCCTAAGGACCTTCCACCAAACACCATACCTTCAGCACATACATTTAGCATAAATTCGCTCATATTCAGATTTTTCAATTATAGTGCTTATGTTGCCATTTTTGTCAGGATAATAATAGCAGGTACCAACAGTTCTGTTTCTGTAATCTAAAACCAACTAAAAAGGAAAGTAGAAACCTAGATGCCAAAATATTTCATACTTAAAGGCAAATGCTTTAAGTTAATTTCCACGCAGCACATAATAACCAGGTCTATGCACTTGCTACTTCTTTTCCAGATCAACAGTTTGGAGCAGCATTTGAGGATCCACTCAACCTCCAAGGTGACACATCTTGGAACAATTCTGGTAAGTATCCAAGGTGTGGGGGAGAAGAAACATTCCTGCTGACCTAGAGATTAGCCAAGTGAGGCATGTGCTGGAGAAGGGTCTCTTCCATGGTCATCAAGTTCATGTTAGGGCCATATTAGTTAGCCTGTACCAACAGATGTCTGTAGAAAGCCATTCGGATTTGCAACGGCAGGGAGGAGGACCCGAGAGAAGAAGAGGAGGAGACAGTGTCTCTCTCTCTCTCTCTCTTTTTTTATACGTCCTCTCCCCCATTTCCTACTCAGTGTCTCTTGATGGAGTGTAGAGTCTGCTGGTTGGGAAACACAGCTGACACATTTTGATGAACGATGGAAGGGGAAAAAACCCATCCAGGGACAATGGAAGTGGAATCGTCCTCCTAAGGATGCCATACCAAGCCAAAAGCCTCCGAAAAGTACCCCTGTCACTGGAACATTCTTCCTCACAAATGATGCCATCTTCTTGGTTTTGCTTTTGAGGTCAATAGGTATCTGGTTGCTCTTAGGGATCTTCAGCAATTTCTGGGCTTTCTTCATATCCTTCTCTACTCGATGCCAGTAAACTTTTTTTTTTTTTTTGAAAGTACAAATACTTTATTGCTCACCTTTCACACAAAGCACACCTCCAGCCATTTTCTTTCACAGCTTGACAATATTCACATGTACAAAAACCCAGCAAGAAGCGTCATGTAGATTTCAGTAACGGTGAGCGTCAAACATCAATGCAGCCAGGCTTTTGTTTTCTGCAGCAATAATAAAGGGCCTCCTGCTCTAAGCAAAAATCTGTCCTCTTATTGGTAGAGCATTTTTTCCATTACAAAAAAAGTCTCCTGCCCAAAGCAAAATAACTTGTATTTGCTGAGCCAGTGGTATTAACTTGTGCATAAAACAAATTTCAGTTTGCTGTTTCTTCTAGCAGATTTCAAGTGAAAATAAGGTTGAAGGAGGAACTTGCTTTGAATGGATGCCGGTCAGTTTGAATTGCTATCCTTAACTAAATGCCTACATGTACTATAGGTTCACGGCTTAGTTTGCTTTTATAATCTTTATGGATTTTGGTGTGTTCAAGGTTTTCAGAGTTGAGCATATGGTACAGTATTCCATCGAAAGGATAAGGCTACTGAATGTGCTATCTGCAGAAGGACTCATTTAATAGGAACTGACCTCAAAGTTCTATCATGAAGCAAATGTTGCATAACCTCTCAGAATAAAAAGCCAATCAGGACAGAACTGTGCTTGGAAAATAGGCCTTAGAATACTTTAAGGAAAATACATATAAATGGATTGTTAATATGAGGAAGGTTTCCTAGTTGTAAATCTAAGAAAGATGTAGGAGAATCTTCATTTTTCAAAACTGCGTATTGAAAACATGAAAACTACTTATTCAAGTAAGCTGCCAGTACACTTTGATGCACCCAGCATGGTTTGCAAACTGAAGGAGAAGAGAGAATCTACCTCTCACAGATGTTGCAGCCAACTTTCCAACCTCTTGGAAAATGAACCCCATGTGCCATCCAGGGATGCCTCCCATCATCAGTGGGGTGGTCACACTAGCCTTTTCTGCACGGAGCCCAGACTCCTACCCAGACATGACTGCTCTTAAGCAAATCATGCGAGGTCCAGTGGTTCAAAACCTTCCTCAGAGTTTCCTTGCCTGGACACAGCCATGTAGGCAAGCTTGTCTCCTGAGGACACTGCAGGGGCTCCTTGTGGCCCCTTCAAATTATCTTTCCCTTGTCATGCTTACTGCCCTTCTCGGCGAGCTTGAAGCAACTATAATTAAAATTATAATTATAATCCTTTCGTACCCTGAATTCCCTTGCTCCTCTTTCCCTCTGTCTTTCTCACCAGGCAAAACTCCAACCCCAGTTAAATTCTTTTCCTCTTGCTCTGGTCCTGCACCCAGGCAGGTGGATGTGGCTGTATGAAGCAGCTCCAATAACAACAAAAACACCAGCACAGGGCTTCCCTGGTGGCGCAGTGGTTGAGAGTCCGCCTGCCGATGCAGGGGACACGGGTTTGTGCCCCAGTCCGGGAAGATCCCACATGCCACGGAGCGGCTGGGCCTGTGAGCCATGGCTGCTGAGCCTGCGCGTCCGGAGCCTGTGCTCCGCAACGAGAGAGGCCACAACAGTGAGAGGCCTGCGTACCGAAAAAACAAAAAACAAAAAAACCCCACCAGCACATGATGACCTGTCTGACTTTAAAATTGTGACCAACTTCAAGTGACTCTTCATCACTGCCCGACATTCCTGCAGGTTCTATACATTGATCTGCTCTCCATTTCTCCAAGATCGTTGTTTTATAATTTTCCCTCTCTTGATCCTTCCTCACTTTCAGTCAATGACCTTGCTTCTTACTTCACTGAGAAAATGTCTGGTCTGATGAGAAGCCCCCCCACCCCGCCCCACCGACCCATACTCCGTGGTGGAGACCACCTGGATCGGCACTGATCTCATCTCCTCTCACCGATCGTGGGGGAATTCACACCCCAGCCTCCCTTGGAGGTAGGTTGCGTCAGTGTGACTGGCTTCTGTAGTGTGTGTCCAGGCCTGGCCATAATGCGTCCTACTTGGTCCTTCTCATTCTGTCTCTTTACTTCTCAGCTTGCCAGATGGAAGGGATCCTAAGGAGGCCCTGACGGACAGCAGAGCCGAGGCTGGCAGGGGCCTGGACCCCTAAGCCGCCCCACTGAGGAAACCTGTCCTCCTGTGTACTGTGATGTGAGTGAGAAACACGCTTTGTGATGCTAAACCACCGAGATGGGTGTTACAGCAGCTAAGGAGACACTCACTTTCCCACCTCCAGGTACCAACTCCCATGCCTGCATCTCCACCCACACACCTCTCCTTCCCTTTTGTTAATGGCGGTGGAGCCTCTCTGCTCCTATCAAAGACCCTGGAGCCCACACCTCCTCACTGATTCCAGGGCTTCCCTCCCCTCTGCACCCATGAGTTTTCTCTCCCTGCTGAGCCATTCCCACAAGTTACAAACAAGCTCTCCCCACTCCCGCCTCAGACGCCCGCTCTCTGGAACACGGACCACTTCAGCGAATTCTCAGCTTCTTTGCTTCTCTTTAGAGCGAAACTCTTTGAGTTGCTTTTTCGTTGTCTTCACTTCCTCACCTCCTAGTCTCTTTTTAATTAAAAAAAATTAATATTAAGAGATATTTCAAACCTACAGAAAAACAGAAGAAAAATAATCCATATACCCAGCATCTAGCTTTCATAGGTCTTAATATTTGGCTGCATGTATTGCTGATATATTTTAAAAATGATACCTACTCATTTAAAGCCACCAGCGTATCTGTTTCCAAGCCCATCCTGTCCCTTTCTCTTCCTAGGTAAACAAACCGCCCTGAAGTTAATGAGTTTTTGTGTTTTAGTTTGTTTACGTAGTATGTGCCCATTACCAAAGGCTAGCATTATTTTGTGTGTTTCTAGACTTTACATACATAATATCCTACTTATAAATCATTCTACAAGTTGCTTTTATTCACCCAACATTTTGTTTGTGAGATGTATCCATGTCAATGTATGTAGAAATATTTTTATGTCCATATAAAACCTCAAAAGGGTTCCATTTTTTGACTACTACAATCTCCCTCTCTCCCATTTTAATTTTCCTTCTGATGCTCAGTTGGGTTATTTTCAAGGCTTGGCTATAACAAAATTTTCAGATTTCTATTTCTTTTTGAGTAACTTTTGGAAAGTTATACTTGTTCTAGTAATTTGTCCATTCTATTTTTATTTTCAAATGTCCCAATATTGTTTATAGTATTCTATTTCTTTTTAATCTCTGCTATATCTGAAGTTTTATTTCCTTTTGAATTGCATTTTTTTCGTGATTGGTGTTCTCAGTCAATTTCAAAGAAACAACCTTTGGCTTTGCTGATAATCTCTGGTGAGTCTCTGTTTCCTATTTAATTAATCTTGGCTCTCAGCTTTCTTTGAGTTATTCTGTTCTTTTCCTAACTTTTCTAAATTTATTTATTTTATTTTATTTTTATTTATTTTTGGCTGCGTTGGGTCTTGCATTGCTGTGCGTGGGCTTTCTCTAGTTGCGGCGAGCAGGGGCTACTCTTTGTTGCAGTGGCTTTTCTTGTTGTGGAGCACAGGCTCCAGGCGCGTGGGCTTCAGTAGTTGCCATACGCGGGCTCAGTAGTTGTGGCTCACGGGCTCTAGAGCGCAGGCTCAGTAGTTTTGGCGCAGGCTCAGTAGTTTTGGCGCATGGGCTTAGTTGCTCTGCGGCATGTGCGATCTTCCTGGACCAGGGCTCGAACCTGTGCCCCCTGCATTGGCAGGTGGATTCTTAACCACTACGCCACGAGGGAAGCCCCCACTCCTAACTTCTAAAGAAGGCTATTTAGTCTATACTTTTCTTATTTATTTATTTTGGCTGCGCCGGGTTTTAGTTGCGGCATGTAAAAATATGGTTCCGGAAGGTGAGAGGACCATTCTGGTGTATCCTCAGGGTAGAGCAAGAAGCAGGAACTGGAGGGAGTGAGGCTGGAGCTGTTCCCTGATCAGGGATCGAACCCGGGCCCCCTGCATTGGGAGCACGGAGTCTTAGCCACTGGACCACCAGGGAAGTCCAGTCTGTGCTTTCTAATAAAAAGACGTGAGAATATAAATTTTCTCCTATGTTCTGCTTTTGCTGCATCCTACAAGTTTTGATGTCTAATATTGCTCAATTCTAAATATTTAAAATTTGTTGGGTTTTTTTTTGATTTATAAGACATTCGAAGTGGGTTTTTAAATTTCCAACTGTACAAGAATGTTTAAATTTCTCTACTTGTTAATGGCTTCTTACTCACTGAGGTTTGATGAGAGATCTATATGATATTCCTTCCTTGAGACTTGTTGAGACTTGCCTCCATCCTGTTGCTCAGCCAATTTAGTATAGATTCCAGGTGTGCTTGAGTAGACTGCGTAATTTTTTACAACCTTTTTTTTTTTTATTTGCGGTACGCGGGCCTCTCACTGTTGTGGCCTCTCCCGTTGCGGAGCACAGGCTCCGGACGCGCAGGCCCAGCGGCCATGGCTCACGGGCCCAGCCGCTCTGCGGCATGTGGGATCTTCCCGGACCGGGGCACGAACCCGTGTCCCCTGCATCGGCAGGCGGACTCTCAACCACTGCGCCACCAGGGAAGCCCCGTAATTTTTAATTCTTTGGAGCAGGGTTTTATATGTGTTATTAAATCAAGTTTTAAAATTGGGTTTTTCAGATCTTCCATATCTTTGCTATTTTGGGAGGGGGGGCATTGATCGATTAGTAATTGCAAGAAGCATGTTGAAATCTCCCACCATGATGGTGGATTTGGTAGTTTCTCTCTGTAGTTCTATCAAGTTTTCCCTTTATATTTGTTGAGGTTATTTCATTTAAGTTCCTAGAATTCTTGTTGTTATATCTTTAAAGAATCTTTGAATCTTTTATCATTTTATAGTAAGCCCTCTATCTCTGAAATGCCTTTTCTGTGGGTCCAGGACCACTAGCCAATACATCCCTCTGAAAGCTTGGGTGCAGCCTTGGGATCAGCAGTCAAGCCTGGAAACGATGTCCAAGGTGGAACGGGAACGCAGGGCAGAGACAACATGGCGAGGAAAAAGGGAACGTGGCATGGAGGATGGACTTGGTATGCCGCTGGATGAGGTAAAAGGATGTAAGGCTTCCAACGGTTGACCGTTTCTTGCATCCTGGCACGTGTGATGCTGGTTTATGGTGGTGACCTATTTTATGCTCCTCCTGGGGGACAACAGTCACCTTGTGTTATGTGTCAGGCTGGGGCAGCGGGACCTGGAGAAACCAAGCAAACAAGGAAAAGATTACCGGGGAGTGTGGCTACATCCTGTATTAGTCAGAACTCCCTTTTTGGAAGTGGTAGAAACCAAAAGAAGAATTTATTGACTCATAAAACCAAACCTTGTGAAGGACAGGGGTGGAGCTGATCTTTGAGGCTCCTGGAAGGAACCCAAATGCTGTTAGGATGCTCTGTCTTTTTCTGCACGTTGGCATGTTTCTCCCAGATCTGCTTCTCCATGAGGCCATGACCACTGCTGCTAGCCATTCTAACATCCTCAGATCTCCAAAAGGGACTTCCAATTCAAACACGTCTGCAGAAAAGTCAACTTTAAATGCTTTGCTTGAAAATTACATAAAAGCAATAAAGAGAATGGAAAATTCCGTTTTCAATAAAACGAGAAAATAGACCTATCCACAGACAGCAAAATTCCAGCTGTGAGTAGGCAGAGATTGTGATTAGGAGAAAGGGAAGGTGGGAACACGGCAAGAGGATGGAGGGGCTGCAGCTTTCTGAAAGTCTGAGCAAAAATATGGCTCCGGAAGGTGAGAGGACCATTCTGGTGTATCCTCGGGGTAGAGCAAGAAGCAGGAACTGGAGGGAGTGAGGTTATTCTGTTCACTGTTTGTTCAGTGAAGCAGAGGAGTTGGGGCTCCACAAAGACTCCCACAGTTGGGCCTTATTTAGAGGAAGCAGCTGAGGAGAGAGCCTTGGGCTGTGATGCTGGGAAGGACACTGTGCAAATATTGACCTAGGAAAATCCAGCTCATTCAATGACGAGTCCAAGACAGTAACTAGCACAGCACTGAGAAGATATACCAAAGGGAAAAAAATGTGGGAGACAGCCATAAAATTCACAAGTAGAGGAAGAGTACCCACCAGAAAAAATTTTGCCAGGGAGCAGCTGAAAACACCGATTGAACATTTTCCTAGGGATTAAAAAAAATTAAGCAATCATCCTGATGAAGGAAGATACAAAGGCAGAGGTGCAAGAGCTCAGAAAAGAGATTATGGGACAACAGGGGCAGATGGAATGAGAGCTGGCTGAATTTCAAGAAGCAATGGAAGGAAAACATCACAAACATTAGAGAAATGAAAATGAAATTGGGGGAACACACATTTAAATATATGACTTCAAGACAGTTTTTCTGAGATAAAAGAGACTTGACTCTATACAGGGAAAGAAAAAGCTCTATGCCAGGGAAAACTGATCAAGTTATTGAATTTTTAAAAATACAGAATTTTTTGAACAGCCAGGAAAAAAGTCAAGTCACTTAAAAGGGGATAAAAATCAGGCTAGCCTTGGATGCCTGCAGACCCATATCGAATGCCAGAAGAGATGGTACAAGATAGTCAGGGAAAGAAAACATGGGTTAGGATTTTATAAAAAGGTCACTGACAGTTTTCTCTCCTCCACCCCCAACTCCTTCTGGCATCTTTTTAGTGTCTCAATAGTTTCTCTTTCCCCGGAATTTGACAGAGTTGGAATCATATACTACGTAGCCTTTTTAGATGGGCTTCTTTCACCTAGTAATGTGCATTTAAATTTCCTGTTTGGCTTGATCACTCACTTCTTTTTAGCACTGAATAATATTCCATTGCATGGAAGTGCCACAGTTTGCTTATCCATTCACCTATTGAAGGACATTATGGTTGCTTCCAAAATTTGGCAATTATGAGTAAAGCTACTGTGGGCATTCGTGTACAGGTTTTGGTGTGGACCTAGGTTTTCTCTTGATTTAGGTAAACACCTGGGTGCGTTGTAAGGTAATGCTTACCTCACCTGGATTGTAAGGTAAGCCTATGTTTAGCTTTGTAAGAAACCGCCAAGTTGTCTTCCAAAGTAGCTGTGCTATTTTGCATTCTCGCCAGCAATGATGAGAGTTCCTGTTGCTCCACATTTTTGCCAGCATTTGTTGCCAGTGTTTTGGATTTTAGCCATCTAATAAGTGTGTAGTGGTACCCACTGTTGTTTTAATGTAAAATTCCCTAATGACAAATAATGTTGAGCATCTTTTCAGATACTTCTTTGCCATCCATGTGTCTTCTTTGGTGAGGTGGCTGTTCAAATCTTTTCTCCATTTTTCAATTGGGTTGTTTATTTTCTTATTGTTAAGGTGTTGTTGTTGTTTTATTTTGCCACACTGTGTGGCATGTGGAATC